TTGTTAAGCACTTCTTCCAAGAAAAAGTTTAAGTGGCAATTTTTGATAAAATCTCAGAGTGTTATCACTATATCTAGTTTTGGAATTTCTTTGAAGGTAGAAAAATAGTGCTGATGGTCAATTTATGAATAACAACACAGATGTTGAAAAAGTCTAAAATTGTATTTTGCTAAATTTTGCTTAATAGATAAATTTGGCTTAACACTTATATCATAGGCTACCGCAGTGATTCATATGGTCTGCTATAACTCAGCCATTCCAAGCCCAGTGCCAAAAGAAGCTACTGATTGCAGAATTCCCAGGCAATCCTTATAAACTGTAGTTTAATTTAGAAGTGTTTGCCTTTTTCTTCCTATGTGAATGTTAGAATAATTTAGAATTCTTGGCAGAAAAGTAGCACAGGTCATTAGGAGAAGTGTATGTCAGACAGAAAAGTAGTAACTAATTCACAAATACTCACAGAATGCAAGTATATTCTATATATTAGAAAGTAAGTTCTTGTTCTATTTTATGGAGGCGGCATATGCATCTCTTCCCATTCCTGGCTTCCTTCTGATTGACTGCTTCCTTTATTCATTCCCCTTCCTCAACAGAAGGAGCTGTTAACCTAGTGGTGAGATGAGAGTCTCTGTGGGGCTACATGATATAATGCACAGGTTCTGCTCTAAGGGCAGGATCCCATCTGCATCTTTTCATTAGATCAGGGCTCGGTCTAGAAAGGCAGGCGAGGTTTGCTCTTTCTCTAAATCTACTTGGCAAGGTGTGTACCTGTGGTAGTGATTTCTCAGCCCAATCATCCTTTCTCTGAATAGCACTGTGAACAGCACATCAAATAGCCTTATTCCAAATTTATAGGCTATACAAAAGATCAGATCGCATGGGAAGCCTAAACTGCAATACATTGTAGCCTTTTTTCAATACCTGATTATTGTTATTGTGCTAGTGCAGACATTCAGTAAAATTAACTCCTTTCTGATAATATCTGTAGTGTATACAGTGCCCTCAGGAAGTCTGTTAGCAATATTATCAAAAGACAGGGCAGAATTTGGTGATCTCTGCTTTCAATCCCATGATAATACCAAAACTTCACTGCACCTTTTCGGTATATTTGTTATGATCGCACTGTTAATGTCAAAGTTATTATAAATGAAAACCCACCTCTTTACTATTGTAACATTTTCCATGTATCTTTTAGTTTTTGAGCTGATATCTGAGATAAATAGAGCTATCCTAATAGTTAACCCTTTGGACAGAAAATTTCTGCAGCTGTGTTCTTTACAAAGTTTAACAGGGTCATTTCGTAGCTGTCCACCACTAGGCACTTTAGCTAACCTTTTGTGGGATCTGGGCAAGGGCTGAAGCAATCACATTGGCCC